TGACGATCAACACTGACCACACCCCTGAACCCCCCACTGCCATCCGCTGCGGCGGCTCATGCCCCACCATCACTGAACACAATCCTGACACATCGTCAAACAGCAACCTCGCCACCGTCAACACCGGCGATGTGGACTCGGCTCAAACCTGTCCTCATTGCGACCACACCTTTACCTCACACATCGGCCTGCTCTGTCACTTGCGAATCCATCGCACAGAAACTAGCGAACCAGTGTCCGGAACACCAACCTATACTTACCGCATCCGCCTCAACTGCTCTCACTGCCTTCGTACATTCAGCCTCCGCATGGGCCTACTAGGACACATGCGCACTCGCACAAGCCTGTGGTAGACAACCGCCGACTACACCGCACCATCGCACCTCCCCCACCAGCACCCGCACCTCACAACACCATCACCCATCACAAACACCCAATTGCCACCTCCCAGACAAGTGGGAAGTGTACTTCTTGTCTCCTTCTCCGTGCGGCTCCTTTGTTGCATGTGTGACCCGAGTCTGATACTATCCCGGTGCGGCAAACGCCGTGGCTTGAAAGGCTACCGTCTGACGCCCAAACTCAGTCCACGCAGTCCGCCGAGATGAGTTTTTGTGGAGTGGCGGACTGGTGATCTGAGAGCCAGACTGTTACAGCCCCTGCTTACAGTGAACTCACGCATGTCAGATGTATGCCACCCAACCCCTGCTGTGTGAAATCTTGGTGCTTCTGTTTGGGGGGTCCGATCGTGCATGTGGCGCGCGCAGACAAGGTCAATAGATGTGTCAGCCACCGCGCCCATTTTCCACACCTGCCAACTGACCGGAATGGACAGTAACTGGGGCCTGAGAATAGGAAGGGAGATTGAGGTCGACGACTCAGCGCATTTCCGTCACTACAAACAGTCTGGCGCGCTTGAAGCTATCACGGTGCGCTAAAAGCCGTGGCTTCGAAGGTTGCCAAATGACGGGATAACTTAGACCTCGAAGTCGGCCCAGTGTGTGTTTCTGTAGAGCGGCCGGCTAGTGGTCTGAGAGGCAGGCTGCAATGGCTCCTTCACAATCTTGCCTTTAGGGCACTTCCACCCCATGGGATCCGAGCCGGTTGTGGCGGCACGCCCAGTGTCGGCTCTGGCTGCGCCAGCCACCCACTCCCTCCTTCACCTCTGGTCTTCTTGACTGTGTTCTGACACCGGGCCGAGGTGGGGAAGGAGGGAGCGCGGTAGATGCTGCGCAAGTGTGCACTAACTACAAACTAATTCACGCGTATGTCACCGTGCCTACTTCGCCTTGCTGTGGGACACACAGTGGACATCTTCGGCAACGACGGTCAAACTGCGAAGTTTCCGGTATTTTCACAATATTTTGAACAATTTAGTGAACGATTTTTGGCGTAAAACTGCCAACCAAAAGTACCAAAGGATAACATGCGAAAAATAGGAACGTTTCTTATAATAAATGTGGTGAGACGTGAAACTAAATGCCAAATACCATTAGTACGATGCCCATGTGGTTCGAAAGGGTCAGATCTTATCCCAGACGCTAAAATCCTCAGGCGTAGGATAGAATTTGTCGGGAAGATTTGGTTCTCTAACTGAACAATGCTTTCATGTAGGGCTTCTCAA